TAAAAATAGAAAAAAATGTAAGGTTAAGTTATCTGTTCATGGGATGAGGAAGGTCTTCCTTAAAAAAAGCTATAGAGACAGGAATTATACGCAATGGGACTAATTAATTGAATTAGGAAAAGATCATTTCTTATATCAAAAATTTTTAATATGACCTCTGACAAAAATTAACTGGACAAAGCATTTCTAACAAAAATGTCATGCATTTAATAGTTTTTTAATGTATCACATTTATAAGGGAATTCATTCTCTCAACTTGAACCCTACCAAAATAACTGCAAAAGAGAAGATGAGTTATACATGTGAGAATTACACCTTGTAGGAAGTGTCACAAGTCAGAAGGGCAGGGCCTGAGTAGTATTTAAAACTTCAAGAAGAGGAATGCGTTGGTAATGTGCAGAGAACATATAGAAAAAAGGTAATATTTTTAGCAATTACCATAAGTGAAAGACTCTGAAAGGAGGGAGAAATACCTAAAAAGAATTAGAAACTTTTTATGTCATATATACAGTATATGACATACACAGTATATTTCCTTACCCCTCTAAGGAAATTTCCAGTAAAGTGTTGTATTTTCTTCAAGGGTTTGGAGATAAGTTTTACTAGTTATGTTATTTCTTTTTATTCTTGTTTTTTTTTTTAGAGAAATTTCTGCTATAGGGAGCGTGTGCCCACCAGAGAGACAGAGAGACAAACAGCAAGAAATAACACTCCAGGGGGATGGCCACATCACAACCCCATCCCCTTCATTCTCCGCTTGGGAATTTGGGCATGCACGTGTGCTCTGTGTGAGTTTTAAGCACGGGGTCTGGGACTCAAACCATAGTCAACTATGTGGGGATCCAGTGACATAATCATTATGCCAATTGCTGGTCCTCATTATAGTATTTCTTTTAAGGTACAGACAGGTAGAAGCAGGAGCCAAAGTAGCCAAATTACATTCAATTTGTTCATGTGAGAAACAAGCTTAATACCTTTAATAATAATGATAATTAATAAGGAAATTTTATAAACCAACAAAAAGAAACTACTATTTTAAAAATAGGCTGAGTGGGCCGATGGTAGCACAGCTTTATTGCACTTGGACCCACATGGGAAAGATCCTGGGTGTGTAGCCTGAGACCTCCCTGAGCACGCTGAGTCCATCAGCACATGTTCATGATCGGTACAGTTTGAAACTGTGAGTGATCTCAACTTGAAGACCCTGTCAGATGTCTCTGTCTCTCTGTCTCTCTCTCTCTCTCTTTTAGAAAAATAAACTTTTAAAAATAGGTGAAAAAGAGGTGAATTGATAATGCAATTAATAAGAAAATGGTTGTAAACATGAAAAAATTACCTTATTAATGCTCAAAGACATGCAAAAATAAAACGAAATATTTTCCAAGATGGCATCCCCTTTCCTCTCAAAGAAAACCCATCCCAAAACAAGAAAGATAATACAAACTCCATATTCAGAGAAACTAGGCAACTGTTGGGTCACCGGAAAAGTCATGCCACATTTTTGCATAGAAAACAGAAAAATAGGTTATAACCTTCCCAAATGACCTAATACTTTGGGAAACATTTGTCCAATGCTGTGAAAAGTATTTCTGCAGTTTTATGCTACTCACAATAGAGAAATGACACACCCTTAAACTATTAACATTTTCTCCAACACTTACTTTTTTTGTTATTCTTTTTTCTGCCAGAAGGTGCATGTGCTTATCAGAGAAAGAGAAAGAGGGGGAAAGAGAAAGCACCTCATGGGGCATAGCTGTGCTGCAGTCCCTTCTCCAGTTCTCCATCTTGTCAGGACAAGAGCAGAAACACACATACATACACACATTCACCCAATGTGCTTTTCAAGCTCCTGGGGCTGAGATTTGAACCTTAGTCGGCCATCTGAGCTCTCTTAACCATCAGGCCACAGGGCCAGCCCGCCATCATTTTCTCAATGTTAATAATCAGTAAAATAATGAATCAAGTGTAAATTCATAGTATTTGCTGATTACCATGAGGTTAATACTCCCACCATGCCCAAGATCAATTTGTATCTATCATAGTGAGGTCACTGAATACAGAGTTGGAAAGAGATGCCAGTAGTGCACAATGATATAATCTTTCCATACTTTGAATCGCAATTATATATATTCATCTTAATATCATTTAGATATTACTTATCTCTCCAAATCCACAAGAGCAAAAAATGGTCTCTGTTTTATCTCTGCTATGTTCCTAGTACCTATAATGGAACTTGCCATATAATAGACAGTCAATAAATATTAAGTTATTGGAAAAATCGCGACATAATTTCCTGTGTTTTTCTCTGCAAAAATGTATCATGACTTTCCCAAAGACCCAATATTTGTTGAATGAAAAAGAAAACATTTGAACTTACTGTATGCCAGCCACTGTTTTAAGTCTTTTACATACATTAGGCCATTAGCCATGTGCTCACTACAACCCTAGGAGGTAGCACTATTACTTCCATTTTGCAAATGGAACCAGAAAACCACTTATCCAAGTTGCCCAGCAGTAAGGGCAGGGCCAGAATGTAAATCCTTCAGATCTTGCACTTATTATCAGTATTTCAGAGCCTTGATGTTGGCAAAGAGAAAGTCCAGGATGAGCTCTATGCACAGACCTTGAGAAAAACCAAGTCATATTAGGGCAACGGACAGAGATGATATATTGGAACTGATCAATATCTGAGAAGTTTGATTTTTTTCAGAAAATTATAAAGACATTTACAAAACTATTAGAAACTGTGAAAAGAACTCAAAAGAAAATCGTCATGTGAGGCAATGATTAACTAAGACAATAGCAATTTGATTGAAAAAGCAAATATAATTATTATCCACCAGTTGTCTTTAACAAAGAACAATATTTACATAATGAATGTGAATTTCATCCAAAAATAGTCATTGTTTTAGAAGGAAAAGGAAAGGGCAAAAATTCACATCTACAGATAAAAAGTCAATCATATTTTTAAAAATCATGAATTAAGGTCAGTCCTGGGGTGCAGTGAGTTAGGCCCCATGCAGAGGAAGCCATATACCACATGGCTGACCAAGGTTTGAGTTCCACCTCCATCAACTTGAAAAATATGATGGAGATGAAAAATACGAAAAATAACTTGGGCATTTGTGTATGCCAAGGATCCTGATGGGATGGACTATTGGAGGAAAAAGGTTTGGGTGTGACTAGATCCCCATTGGGTGTTCTTTCTTTCTTTCATATGTTGCACACACACTCTAGCATTAAAAATAAAATCATGTATCAAACAGTATCCATATACATAAAGTAACAGACACAAAGATATAGGTAAAAGGAACATCGACAATGTTAGAAGTTATTAGCTCTCGTGGGGGAGAGTGAAAGAGTCTGCTGTAGTTGTTATATGTTACTTGGCACTATCTGATTTGCTAATTCCTGAGTAAGAATTATACTGATAAAAGATGAAATAAAAACAAAAAGGTAGAATTTTTCCTATAATTTTGTCAAAGACTCAAAACATGAGAACTCCAGTGTTGACAGAGATGTACTAAAGTGGGTATTCTCATATGCTAACTGATGAAGGTATCAATGGTATTGTTCTAGAAGATAGATAATATTTTGTATTGAATGCCTTAAAAATTTTTATTTGACTCAGCATTTTATTTTTATTTGACTCAGCATTTTATTTATGGGAATTCATCCTAAGAAAAACTTTTAAATATATGTATAAAGACGTAGCCATTTTTTTATTACAACAAAAAAGAAAATAAATAATGTAAATATCCAAAAATAGGGCCACAGTTTTTTTAATTATTGTGGCTATACAAACTGTGTCACTACTAAACATTATACTATATTTACATTAATCTGAGATGATTTTTATGAACATTGATAAAAATTAAAAACGTGATAGCAAAATATCAGATAAGTCTCCTTTTTCTTTCCTTCCATGAAAGTGTGTAATTTGCATCAAAATATTTCAAATAGATGTAACACATAGTTATTGTTGGGTAATAGAATTATATTGGGTTGTTGGAAAAGTCATGATGCGTTTTTGTGTAGAAAACATACTTCATGACTTTTCCAGTGATCCAATATATTATTTGTATCGATTTAGTTTTATTCACATACATATTATTTTCTATAATACATATGATTTACCTGTGAGGTTGTCTAATAGATTTCAATGTCTAAAATCACACCTTGAACAAAACATAATTTATGAAAGATTCAGAGGATCATAGAAAATTAATGAGTGTATTACCAGTGAGAATAGACATGAAAACTAAACCCTTTTGGTCTAAAATAGTGGATTCAATAACAACAATCTGCATCTGTAACATCATAAAGAATGTGGTATAAAGCTGATGTGAGCTATTCACAGAGTCCAGAGTATTAAAACTAAGGTTTATGGAAGCTTAAAAACTAAGATAAAATATCTCAGATAGGTAAGTATTCTTTATCTGAAGTGTTTGGGATACTAGAAGTGTTTCAGATTTCAGATTTTTTTCTTTTGGATTATGGAACATTTGCATATACATAATGAGATATCACAGGGATGAAACCCAATTCTATGAGTTTCATGTATACTTTATATGCATAGCCTGAAAGTAATACAATTTTTTGTATTGTAGCATTTAACTGCGACCTGTCACATGAGGTAAAGCGTGGAATTTTCCATTTGCAACATCATGTTGAGACTTAAAAAGCTTTGGATTTGGGAATATTTCAGATTTCAAATTTTCAAATTAGGGATATTCTACTTAGTAGTGGGAATTAAATTCCAAGAATTTATCTCAAGAAATGGAACATTTAAGATGCATGTTCCTTGATACTAATTGGGCTCTTTAAATTACTAAACATTATGCTATATTTTTATTAACATTATACTATATTATATTGTTTCTCTTAGGATGCATTTCTTATTTATATTTAATACTTGAAGTAACCTTCTACTTGAAATAATGAGTCCTTGTAGTTTGAAGACTTGTCTAAATTCATAATATTGTTTGTTTGACTCCTAGGTATCAACAAAAGCCAGACACCTTACTCGACGACGTCCCTGCCACCACCTCCACCACCCCATCCGACCAGCCAGTCACCACTCCCAGCAGCTCACCCAACACAACCACCAGTCCCAAGTCTACCTCCCAGAAATATTAAACCTTCATTTGACCTAAAGTAAGAGAAAGATTATCTTGCCATTTTATCCTTTTTAAAAAATTAACACATTAGGTGTACATATGAGGTATAGTATTGTTTTTTAGTTCCTGAATACAATGTGTCATGATCAAATCAGCGTAATTGCATATCCATCACCTCAAACATATGTCCTGACTTTGTGTTGGTAGAATATTCTCTCTAGCTATCTTAAAATATATATTAAATTATTGTTAACAGTTGCCACTCTACTGCACTATAGAATGCTAGAACTTATTCCTCTCATCTAACTGTACTTTTGAACTCATTAACTGATTTCTCCCTCTTCCTCCTCTCTAGCTTTCTCAGCCTCTAGTAGTCACTATTCTATTCTCTCCTCCTATATAGTCAATTTTGTCTCACATTAGTGAGAACATGTGGTATTTCTCTTTCTGTGCCAGTGTCTTGCCATTTCTTTGCTAATCTCATGCCATAGATTTTCAAACTATGCTTGGCTAAGTGCTGAGGGTTCTGGAGTGAACCTCTGGGATACAAAATTGGGCTACTAGCAGGGAGAAAGGTAGGCTGAAGACAGTGCTCATAGTTCCATCTCCCTTTAAGTCTGAGTAACTCATTTTGATCTTTCTCATGTCACATTTCTCCTTGAGAGTTCATTTAAGGACATTTTTCACTGCCTTATAAACAGTTCTAAAGTTTTCTTGAGGTCAGCACACAACCGCCATCTTTTCCACTATCATCATCAACACCATCATACTCACTATTATCACTACCACACCACCATTTATCATCCTCCCAACGCCCCATCACCACCTACCTTCCCACATTTTACTGACTGCCTATAAAGTGCCATTATTATATATGTTATATATGTTATATATATATAACATATATGTTATATATATTATATATTATATATATATAATGGTATATATGTATTTCTTTGTGCATTTATATTAACTGCACACCCTTCCAGGCAGTTGACATGATGAGTGCTAATTTAACACATGCACATACAGATACAACCTTGGTAGCAGATTCTTTTAAAAATAGTAACTCTAAGATTGCCATATTGACTCTTCTCTGCAATCCTACTCCCTAGAATCTATTATAACAAAGTAGGAGCATAAATTGTAGAAGCAAGAAAGCATTTCAAAAATTGTCCTACAGCCCCAGACTACTGTTTTGGAAAGATGCTGGTCAATTTCCCAGCTTTGCAATAAATTGTGATGAAGAAGAGGAAGTTGAAAAGAGCCTGCCAATTTTCTAGGTTCAAATTCTTACTTGTAATACTATTTTCAACCTTTAGCAAAATCTACCAAAAGTAATAAACTTTGTTCCATTCCTCTATTTCATTAATGACCCCTAATTAGAAAACGATTCATCTTCACTCTGCAAAGTGCACCCACTCAGAGAGAGGTGGAAAGAAGCAAGAGTCTTAGACGTTTCACTGTTTGAATAATCTACAGCTGGAGCATCTGAAAGTTTGTTGTCAGATTGAGAGAAGAGAGGGTCTGAAAGCTAAGGACACCTATAAGCTATTTTTTTTTTAAGGGAAAAGGTGGTGTACTGTGAAAAATTTTCAAAGACCTATGAGAAAGTTCAAGTAAATTCCAAAATGAAGAAATATCTGGGTTAGAGAATTTCCCTCAAAGAGAGGAAACTAGATAAACATAGAGGAAATGAAAGCAAAGTGGGTCTTAATATTCAGACTGAAAAGCCTACCGTTCACATGAAGGGGAAATATATGAAATAGTCTTTAAATAGAATTTGTGAAAAGTATGGGTGTTTCTGTGCTGCTTCTCACACTCATCCCTCATAATGTTTATGTAGGTGTTTCCAAGTGCTCCCTCTGCTGGCCTGCAACTGTTCCTACCTTCTGCAATTAATGGCCTTTCACTCTTCTATCAGGATCTAATGTCTTTTTTGTTTTGTTCTGTTTTTTCAACCGTCATTCAATAAGTCTTTTCTGAGTCCCTGTCTTGTGCCTTATAATACAGTGGTTCCCAGCCTTTGGGGCACCAGGGACTGGTTTCATGGAAGATATTTTTTTTTCAGGACAGGGATCAGGATGATTCAGGTGTGTTACATTTATTTGCACTTCATTTCCATTATTGTTACATTGTAATAGCTAATGAAATAATGATACAACTCACCATAATGTAGTATTTACAGCCACTCCCCAGTGCTGAAGTGGCCTCACCACTTCAGCTCCACCTCAGATCATCAGGCATTAGATTCTCATAAGGCGCATGCAGCCTAGATCCTCACTTGTGCAGTTCACAGTAGGGTTCTCATTCCTATGAGAATCTAAGGCTGCTGCTGACCAGACAGGAGGCAGAGCTCAAGCAGTAATGCAAGCAATGGGGGATGGCTGTAAATACAGATGAAGCTTTGCTCAGTCTCCCACTGCTTACCTCCTGCTGTGCAACCTGGTTCCTACCAGGTCAGGGACTGATACTGGTTCATGGCCTTGGGTTAGGGACCTCTATTGTAATTGAAATTCAGGGAATATCATTGAGCAAAACAGAGATCCTTGACTTTCTAAAGCAGGGGACAAGAGGCAAAAGGAATTTAAAACATAAACAAGTATAAGATATAAATGTTAGGAAGTATCTTATGCTGTGGGAAAAAACAGAGTGGAGGGGGGTGGTTTCGTGTGAGGACAGGGCTGGGGACAGGATATTGCAGCTTTGAACAGAGATGTGAGGGTCACTCTCTTTATAGAAAGTGATCCTTGAGTAAAGGAATTACAAGAGTTAGACATGACGGTATATGACTGTTTCAGTCAGAGGCAGCAGATGGAACAAAAACCTAAACGTGTCCTAGGACTAGGGAAAATGTAACTGGGATTAGAGTAGAGTGAGTGAGGGAAAAAGCAGTAGAAGAAAAGTCTGTTCATGGAAGGCCTTGTGGATCACGATGGAGTTGTGACACTTAACCGCAAGTGCAATGGGAACCCCTGAAAGAATCTGAGCAGAACAGTGGTATTTTCTGACTTATATTTTATGACAATCACCTTAACAATGATGATGAGAATAAATGGTAGTTAGACAGATGTTGAAGCAGGAAAACCAGTGAAATAAGTAATGCATAGATGCAGACAAGATAGATTCAGAGCTGGCTCTCACCAGGGTGGTAGCAGTAGAAGAAGTGAGATATGTCCTGATTCTGGATATATTTTGAAGGTAGAGACAACAGAATTTATATCTGGAATATAAAACAAAATCAAGATCAAGAACGACTCTAAGATTTTGCCTGAGCAACTGTAAGAATGATGTTTCCACCCACTGACATGGGGAGGCTGAAGATGAGCAAGTTTTGGGAGGTGGGGAAGTTAAGTTTCTTAAACATCCAAGTGGAAATGTCAACTGGGTGTAAGAAGTGGACTGTCTTGGGACCAGCAGTTAACGTAATGGCTATGTCACTGGACTCCCATGTAGTCGACCGCAGTTCGCGTCCCGGACCCGGTGGCTTAAAACTCACGCCGGGCGCGTGTGCATGCATGCCCTAGATCCCGAGAGGCGAAGGGATTGCGGCGTGGCCATCCCCCCTGGAGGTGATTTCTCGCTTTCTGTCTCTCTGTCTCTGTCTGTCTGGTGAGCACACGCACCCTATAGCAAAAACTTCTCCAAAAAAAAAAAAAAAAAGAAGTGGACTGTCTTGAAAATATGAATATTAGGGTAGGGTGCTGGCATAGTAGTTGCACAGATAGACCCACATGAGAAAGGTCCTGGGTTTACATCCAGAACCAGGACCTCTGTACACGTGCCAGGTGCACACACATGCCTGAGATCTGGGCTGTCTGAGACTGGGGTCTTTCGTGCTATAGGGACCCTATTGGGGGTGCTTTTCTTTTTCTCTGTCTCATGGAAGAAATATCTGAATAATTTTTAAAATAGGTAGATAGATATAAACACTAGAGACACAGGGACATATTCTACAGTTACGGTCATGAGACTGGTTAAGATGACCAAGGAAGGTCATCACAGGGAAGTTTTCTCCTTTCCCTCCAAAGTTTCAATGATTTTTTTAGTCATTGAAATAAACTGACAAACAGATTAACAGGAAACAAGCCTATCCATTTATTATGTGCATGTATGCATAGGAGCCACAGTAAAAATAAGAGACTCGCAGGAGGGCCAGGTGCCTGAAGGGTTTATCATCATTATTAATAATTTTTACTTAAATTTTTTATTTTTAATTAATTAATTAATTTACATTCATGTACTGAGCATTGTCACAACATTACAAAAGGTGATTTCCCATTCAGAATATACTGGATAGTGGCTTAATCATACATGTTACTGTCAATAATTTTCCATTTTTAGTTTCATATATGTAAGTATACATATATATTTCCTGCTATTTCTCACCCTCTGCCATTTCCTACCCTCCTCGCACACTATCTCTACTATACATTTAATTGACATATAGTTGTAACACAATTACAATAGGGGTACAGTGTGGTTTTTCGATACATGCATACAATATGTAATGATCAGATCAAGGCAATAAATGTATTGACCATCTCAACATTTATAATTATTTCATGTTGTGAATATTCAAAAATCTCTCTTCTAGCTATTTTGAAATATACATAGAATTCTCACTTATTATCATTACTCTTCTGGGCTAGAGTGACCATAGAACTCATTCCACTTACCTGCTTATACTCCAGTGTCTATTTTCAAACTCTTCCTATTCTCTCCTCTCTACTTTCCCAGCTTCTGGCATCCATGGTTCCATTCTTTACCTCTATGTGATGAGATCGTTTAGCTCCCACTAATGACTGAGAAAACATAGTATTTATTTTTCGGTGTCTTGCTTATTTCATTTAGCATGGTTACATTCAGGTTTGTCCACATTGCTGCAAATGGCAAAGTTTCATCTTTTTTCATAACTGAGTAGTATTCCATTGTGTATATATACCACTTTTTCTTAATCCAGTCATTCACCTTGGGCACTTAGGTTGATCCATATTTCAGCTATTGTGAATAGTACAGCAATAAACATGGGAGTGC